CGTATTATGATCATTGTATCTCAAAAACATTCAGATAAATAATATTCAGAGATAAATATATAAAATATTTGGTTACAAAAACTTGCTAACGTATGCTATGCTAACGGACTAATTTAACAACACGGAGACACGAATAAAATATATATGTTGTAATAACGACCTTTTTTTTTTTTTTTAAATAAAACATTCAATTTAATCTGACATGAGTCGCTGTCGCACCACAGATAAGCTACAGGAGCTCGTCATTACACAAAACGTACAGCAGAGGGCGCGCTGGGGGCGAGTTCACTGACTTCACGGTGTTGGAGATGACGAAGAGTTGAGGCGCACGCGCAGAAGCCACAGGCCCAGGCCCGGTTACCATGGTTATCACACAAAAGGAGACGGGACAGGAGAGGCAGAGCGAGAAAGCGAGCGAGAACCGAGCCGCTTGACTGGACACATCGGTGCCAGCTTTTCACACAGACCCAGACAGAAGGCTGCTGCTGTGGGTGACGTTGGTCGACTGTGGGGTTGATCCACACCACTCGTGTTTTCTTTGTTGAATAATAAGCACCATAACAATGAGCTCCAGTCGTGTTTTCATTCCAGAACAAAGACCTCGTGGAACATCGCGAGATTAATTTCTTCTTCTCTCCCTGCTCTCCGGTCCAAATGCCAGTGGTTCTCCACCTTTTTCTGCGATCCGCCTTTTACAAGTGCAAAGTTGGTTTTTTTAAAAGGGCGTGAAACACAGCAGTGATTTACTGAACTTGGAAAATGTAAAACTTTGCTCTTTTGCAGCCTCTTCAACAATAACATGACACGACAGTTTTCCAACTTTACTAAAAAAACAAACAAGATATAAGACAACATTTGTGTTTCTATAAATGTTCTCTAATAACCTACTAAATATAAACTTACTCCCCCAGGTTTATATCTGCCCCTGAACCACTTATTGAAAACGTCAGTTTATGAAGTTCTGCTTTTTCCATTTTAATCAATTGTAAAAAAAAAACAAAAACATTTGAACCACATGTTGAATCGTTGCTACTATTTTTTAAAATATGTTTTTAAAACCTCCTTTAGCGCAAGTACCCCAGGGAGGTACACATACCCCTGCTTGAGAACCACTACCATATACTAAAGGTGACTCTGGATAGGGGGGAGGAAGACCCTCCCTCTCTCCCTCTTCAGAGTTTGGCCTCTCTGCCTCCTTCTCCCTGCCCCACTGCCTCCCCCTCTGTCTACTTATGCAAATCACGCCCTCTCTCTCTCTCTCTCTCTCTCTCCCCTCACCCCCCCTCTCACCCCGCGCGCATCCCTCACTCTCTCTGGCGCACTCCTCTGCTAAAAAATCTGTGACTGTAAGACTGAGTGGAGGCGCTGTGTATGAAAAAGTGCAAGTCGTTTTAAGAGGAAGAGGGGGAGTAGAAAGGGGGAGGAGAGGGGAGGGGGTTAAAAAGAAAGGGGGTGGGGAAGAGGCGAGGGTACGCATCAATTTGTACAGTCTTCACTTGGCACCCCTGTTTTTTTTTTCTTCTTCTTCTTCCCCCTGCAACGACCACGGAGAGGGGGAGAGAGAGGGGGGACACAGAGAGAGAGAGAGAGAATTTCTCTTCTGGCGTTATTGTTGTTATGAGCGGAGGCCGCTGCAATATGAGGCGGCAGGAGGCGGCTGTGATATCAACAGACCCTGCTGCTGCTGCTGCTGCTGCTGTTGCTTCTGCCTCTTTCCATCGCGCTCTCTTGGATGCGTGGTTATA